GGCGACCTTATCTGGTGGCCTTCAGTTGATGATTCTTCCTGACTAATGAGCAATCCTGGATGCCAACTTTAGGGAGGTCAGCATTTGTTTGATCTTTAGGTCTGGCTCACACCAGGAGCATCTCCCCAGTAAGGTGTCTGGTCTTTGTCATCCCCTTCGAGGGCCTGTCCCTGTCTAACTACCTACAATATTTCTATCTAACTTAGGTTGCCTACAACAACATGACGACATACCAGGCACCACTGCACATAAGCAGAATGCTCTTGACTGGCCATAGTAACTTTACTGATCTCAACAGTGTCTGGAGTGCAGCGTGGACACCAAGGACAGGTTTTGGATGTTGGGAACAACTAATGGGGATCAGCTGGGCCTTTGTATCTTTGCTCCCACATTTGTAGATTTAGCCATCTGCAGATGAAAATATATTTGGAAAGAAATGAAGTCACTATCAGGGCCTCAGCAGCCCACCCACAGGGGTGTTATCTGTACACAGAGACCAAAGTCTAGCCCTGAAAGCACCCCTGCCAAACCTCATGCAAGCAGTTATACTAAGTGCCCTGCTGCCACATGCTGTGTCCAGCTTGGCAGGAGTCCTCGTGCACCCCACTTGGAGGTATGCAGGCACCCACCCATTCCTGTGCAAAAACAAAGGCAGGTAAAAGAGACATGTGAACATGGCTGTTCGTTGAGATTAATGAAGAGATTGTAGGTCCCAGGTGAAGGTCAGAAAGCTCTCCTCTGGTCTCTGTGTGGCCTTTCCCGGACAGGCTACCAAAGAACATCATCCATGCATAGCAACCAGGATAGGTTTGAAGGAAGTGAGTCAGTGAGGAAAGTTTGTTGAGGCTATAGTTATTTATACCTCATTCTTAAGATGCCACAACTATGCAGAGGACAGACACAGCTCCACATACTCCTGGAACCTGGCCTCAGGAGTATGGCACCACCGTAATGCTTCGCTGGGAAATGTGACCAAAAGTAAACTTCAAACTTGAGAAAGAAAATCTGTTGGCCTGGTTCAGTGGGCACCCTGAGCAGAACAGGTTTTAAGTGTTCATGGTCAATAGTGTAGAAAGATCCACAGGAGGTTGTATTTTCTTTACAAATTTAAGGGTAGATATTATAATCTCACAAGTAAACTATGAAATTCTAGCTTTACACTAAATTCTTGGTGAGAAACAACTGTCTCAGAGCAGGTCATGGCAGATTCATCCCAGGGCCACTGTCAGGATCTGGGTGCACTATAGAAATATAGATTGGAGACAAAAGCCTGATGTTCCAAGAGAGCAGGGAACAATAGACAGAGCCCGAGAAGAGTTGCTGTCTGTTTGCAAATTCCTGGAAAACTGGGATTCAAGGCAGCAGATAACAGCTTCTCCTGCAGGTGCCCTGTCCTTGGATCCCTTGCTTGGGATGTTATCAGCTAGCATTTGTGAGGACCTAGAGTTAGGCAAATGGTGGAAGTCAATAGAGATAGTAGTTTGCATTCACTTAGGTAATTATGCACATTCCTTAGCCTGCCTTTACCTCTCAATAAATGAGAGATGCTTCTGAGGCTCTGGGCTCACTTGGAGAGAGACTAATCTTAGTGAGACCTCTGAGACTACATTCATCAGGTCTTCTCATCGTTTCTTTCGGCACTGACCCATAACTTACAACAGTGCACTGTATGAGCGAGATGGCCATTGGAGTTGCCTGAGACTGTTGGGGGTAACACTGTGTGGGACTTCACAGTCAGAGCACAATTCTGGACTTTGACACATGGAGGCAGACTTGTGTCTGATTTTGTAAGAAAATTTATTTGGAAACAGTGCTTGTGAGCCTGCAGAAGCAATACCCACTTGGGGTGCAGACAACAAGATTACAGGGCCCTATTTCCTGGGCACTCCCTTCCTGGTACCCGGCTGTGGGGCCTCCTGCTGCTCCCTGTTCAAGCTCTCTCCTGTCTCCAGAGCCACACCCCTTTCCTGGCTCCCCTTTTTCCCTGTGCCGTGGGTGAATCCTCTCCTCCATCTCAGCTCATCTTCATTTTCTTTAGGAAACCTGCCCAACTCAGAGTGACCACTGTGCTTTCTGCCATCATCTGAGTAGCGTTCTGGCATTTCAAGTCCTTGTATTCTTCTCTCCATGTCCTTTTGCTCTTTGTCATTATCATCCCGAGACCTGTGAGTCAATACAAATGGTAAGTGACCACATGGAAAGTAAACACAGCCCTCCTTATACAGCTAAAGTGAATGAGACTAATGAAGCTTAGGGACTTTCCCAGGTGTCTAGACCCAAACCCACTATGACACAACTTTGAAAATTTAAGTTCTAAATTTCCTGCTAAATTAATTGAGGTATAATGATGCCAGATGAATTTCTGCATACACCATAGCATTAAAGAACAGTAAATAAACAGAAAGCTGCTTAGCTTGTTTACTTCTAAAAGCTTTGCCTCCATGAATCATGGGCATAATTCTTACATATCTGCGGCTTGGCCACCTAAGTGTGGCAGGAGTGGTGAGGACAGGGAGGATCACCAAGTCCAGCAGAACTTTATGCCACCAAGAGAGCAACAGGCACTGCTACATCAAGCAATGACATTAAAACACCACAGCATATTATCACACTGATAAAAGATGAAGGAATTCATAATCATGTATGAATTTTACAAACTTATAAACCAAAACCCCTGGGAAGTGGGAAAGATTTTGTGACTTTGAGACAGCCCGTGATCTTGCCATTCCCCGCCAACCCGAGCAATGCAACCCCGAGTGCGAAGGATTCCTGTGTCAGGATGCAGCATGTGACAGAAGCCTGGTCAGCAGCAATACCAACTTCATGTGGTGAGGAGGGGTCAGGGTAGGGGGCCCATCAGCCCAGCCAGCAGAAATGGCTGTGTCAACCCCAACAGGGATGCAGAGCCTCCACAAAGTCATGGTGCAAGCAGGCGAAGGAAAACAATGAGGCAAGACTGGCAGAAGGCACGGTCAAGGAGAACCACGGCACTGAAGTTCTGTTTCTCTACCACAAAAAGCTGGCCTACCCCAAGATAGATTGGGTTCTCAAATTCACAAGTATGTAGAGAGAAACTGTAGGAAGTGTGTCAGGGCCAAAGGGCACGAAACTCAAGACACAGAAGAAAACGACAAAGTGGCACAGGTCATGAAGAGAAAAGGTACTAGAAGAGGGCTTGAGAAGGAGTTTGAGAAGGAGAAGGGATAGCATAGAGAAGACAGGAAATTTGAGACTGCAAGCTCAATGCTATAAGATCTTAGAACTGATGGGAAGCAAAATAAACATGTGTCACATCCTGAGGCAACCCTCAGAGCCCAGAACAGTGTGACACAAACATACTCATGCCCCTAAGGGCAGTAGAAAGAGGTGCACTCACTTCTCGCTGCATCCCTGTGTGGGGCTCTCTGAGGGCCTGGCTCTCACAAAGGTGCAGGGGGTGCCAATTTCCTGTTTGCCATCTCTACTGCCGACTTTCTTGTTTCTTTCTTTTTGCTTTTCTGTGTTTTGTTCTTCTTCCTTTTCTGGTTTCTTAAGAAGCTGGGAAATTACAATGTTAGAAACCATCACTAAAGAATACAGTATCGGGGCTGGGGAGATGGCTCAGTGGAATAAGTGCTTCTCTGGTGAGCGCAAGGGCCTGAGTTCAATCCTTGGTTCCACCAAAAAAAA